CCTGTATAGGGTCACTATGAGTTGAACCAACTCAATGGCACTTAACAACTAGAAGCAGCTTAATCCTGTTAAACTCATTTTGGTACCTTAGCAATGCCCAATGTAGTCCTGAGTATAATATATGTGCTTCACATTTTTTAAGGTACATTCAGTCAACTATACTTTTCTATTGGCTTATGTTTTATTTTTGGAGACATTTGCTCTGACATAAGTATTTTAGCTTTTAGGTACATATTTTTATTCTTTAACTTTTCTATGGCATAGTAAAAGGTCTACAAATCAGCACTGAAATGTTCTGGGGGAACCATTGAAAAGAATCCCACAGAGAATCCTTTCATGAATGCAAGTTATTTTGTAATGCCTCTAGTTCTGAAATCTTCCGGTTTCCCATTCAGTAAATAAAGAGTCATCTCTGGCAACTTCAGGCATTAAAACAAAGTGTGTCTTCCTGGCCAGAGAGAAAAGAAAGCAAGGGTCCTTGGGAAGTTTTACAGTCAAAACACCACAATTTTCAGCATGAACATATTTCCTAGATTGTCCCACTAGTTGGAAACACAAGTAGTAAATGCAGTACAATCAATAATTCTGTATGCTTTCTCTGTCATCTGTAGTAACTCACTGCCGAGGGATTACTGAAAAAGCCATACACACGAACACAGGAAAACTGAACTAAAAACGCTAAGGTTATGAAATGAATTGAGAGTAATCTGACATTAACTGTATCACATTGTCAAGCTTATATCCTGTTAATATCAGGAAATATTAGGAATACAACATAGTGCCCCTGAGGTGACACATTCTTCCAGGTCTTAGTGTAACAAATGAAATGACAGGAGTTGTTGGTGGGTTTCATTTGTAGTAAAAATAACTTAGGACTGGAGAGGGAAAGAAACATTATTAGATCCAGAAGTCTCTGTTCCTAATAAAACCAAATAAACCCATCAAAGATCATGTCATACTCCCAAAGATGTTGTTGTTAAGTGCTGTCGAGTCAATTCCGACCCATAGCGACCCTGTATAGGGTTTCTGAGGAGCAGCTGGTGAGCTTGAACCTAGGCACTTCTAAATTATTCAGTTTGTACTGAATCCAAATTTATTGCTTTTACTCTTTTTTCTTGTACTTCCCTGTGGGCCATTTCACTAAATGTTGAATGGAACACATGAAATTCTAATTTCTGGTTCCATATTAAAATGTGGATGATTTAGATAGATTATTTATCCCTATAAAAATAATCTTTTTATTAAGCATCTTTTCTTGAGGGCCTATTGTGGGTGGCAGTGGGTACTCTGGATGTAATTGTTATATCACTATGCCGCAAAGCAAGGAATTGAATCTTTCTGAATCTTAGTTTTTCTTTATCTGGAGAATAGAAATAAAAATACTCTCTCCCAGGGTTGTAGTAAGGTTCAAGTGAATGCATGTGAAAATCAAACCAAACCCATTGCCTTCAAGTTGATTTCAACTCATGGCAACCTTATGTGTTAAAGAATAGAATTGTTACAGAGAGTTTTCTTGGCTTTAATCTTTATGGAATCAGATTATCAGGCCTTTCTTCCTTGGGCTGCTGGGTGAATCTGAACAATCTTTAGGTTAGTTGTTGTTGTTGTTAACTGCCGTTGAGTCGATTCCAACCCATAGCAACCCTGTACAGGCTTTCCAAGGAGCAGTTGGTGAGCTTGAACCACCAACCTTGCAGTTCAAATGGCTTTGCAGTCTGGCGCATTAACCCACAGTGCCACACTAGTAGTCAAGGTCAAATCTTATATACCAGGTAGAGTCAAAGAACTTAATAAACTATAAAAATAGCTAACCTTTGGTTGTGGAAACAGGGTTTGCTCTCTCTTGCCCTCATTTCCCTCTTCATTCATCTTAGATTCTGTGGTCCATCATGGTCATCAACTCCTTGAGCACCACTCATTTCTGTTGCTCCTCTTTCTTCTCTATTTTTTTTCTTCTTGACATATCTCAACCCTGGTTACACTCAAACTCTCTAACAGCACAACAACAACAACAACAGATGTCTGTCAGGTAAGCTTAAACTGTAGCTGTACAATTTATTAGCTTTTGGAAAGTCAGTTAACATTTCCAAGACCCACTTCCTCTTCTCTGGATGAAAATGATGGCGCTAAACCAATCACTTGTTATGAACACTCAATTAAAGAACTATTGTAACATAATAGCATAAGATCTGGAATGCAGTAAGCATTCAATAATTGGTAACTACTGTTAGTCCGGAGTTCTGGTATGGCACTGTGGGATAATGCACTGGACTAAAAGGTTGGTTTGAACCACAAGGTTGGTGGTTCGAACTCATCAGCAGCTCCAGAAACCCTATACAGGGTCACTATGAGTCGGAACCAACTCGATGGCACTTAACAACAACTATTGCTACTACCAGTATATATAATCCCTGATAATTTTTATGCTGATAAATCTATAACTAATTTAACAAAAGCCAAACAAAGACTTTAATATAATAACCTTATAAAGACGCTCTGGTGGTGCAATTGTTAAGCACTCGACTGCTAATTGAAAGGTCAGAGGTTTGAACCCACCAGCTGCTTGAGGGAGAAAAGACCTGGCCCTATGCCCCTGTAGAGATCACCCACTGCTATCTAGTTAATTCTGACTCACAGAAACCCTATAGGGTAAAGTAGAACTGCTCCATAGGGTTTCCAAGGCCGCAGTCTTCACTGGAACAGCTTGCCACATTTTACTGCCTCGGAAACCCTAAGGGGCAGTTATACACTCTCATTCTGAGTAGGAATCACTTTACAGCACATAACAACAATTACAATAGCTGTATTTATTACCTTTAAATCTTGTGTTCTTTTCCTCAGTACTTTAAAAAATCCAGAGTTTTCTAATGATACTTTTGGTTTATTCACAGTAGAATAAAACAGTTTTCAAGAGAAGATGCGTACTGTGGTATAAAATCTGTTCTGAATTTATATAAACTTGATATATGAGATAAGTAAAAGTAAATATAGAAATAAATACATGCAGGTTCAGTTAAAAAAAGCAAACATTTGAATTGAAATTATACAAAGGATTCTAAAATCTACCTTACATAACTAGGTAACTGAATAATATTTTCATCAAACCCTATTATATGGCTCTACAAGTCTCAGTGTTTATTCCTAGAATTATAACACTCAAGTAAAAACATTGACATTCTTTTATAATGAGTTTCTGGTTACAAATGAGAAATTCACCTTAAACAAGTGTAGTTCAAGCCACTTAAACAATTCTCTATGGTTTTCTAAGGTGTTTGCATTTTCTAGTGGTTTATATTTTAGCAAAGCGGTAAACCGTTACATATGTTACATTACCATCCATCAGCCCCCCAACAGCTGTAAAATCACCAGCTGCTGGGAAAAAGAGAAATAAATGAGTCCTCTACAGCTGCAAAGAGAAAAACCTGGAGTCTAAGTACAGTTTGTCTTGCCAGAAGGCTCCAGCCTTGTAGCGTGTCAAACAGCACATAAGCCCTGATTTATTTTTGTTGTTATTGGGGAAGTTGCAAAGGTAACTGAGATAATAGAAAGTATTATCTACTATAAATTCTATTATCTGCTTTGTCCCAGGCACTGGCATTGACTATTATATTTTTAAATCCTCACAAATAATGAAGTAAGACACACATTCTCACAATAATTACGTAAAACAGATGCTATACTAAGGAATCCTCATATGGCACTGTGGGATAAAGCACTGGACTGCAGGTTGATTTGAGCCACAAGGTTGGTGGTTCAAATTCACTAGTTGCTCCTTGGAAACCCTCTATAGGGTTGCTACAACGCAGAACCAACTCGATGGCACTTAACAACAACAAGGGTCATTGAGTTTGAATAACTTAGTTAATTCTATCACGAGTCAAATCCTGATTTGTGTGACCACAGTGCTGGAGTTTTAATAATTATTATGCTGTTCTGCCTTAGAGAAAAATGAGCAGATGAGGAAACAGTGAAGTGGTGAGGCTTCAATGAAACAAGAGCATATGGCTGGAGGTATGGAGAAGGTGGTGACTGCTCTCAAAGACACAGGACTATTTCACAGTAAATGATGCTGCCAACTTAGAGCCCACTTCTTACCTCTTTCTATTCCATTCTCCCTAAGAAACAAAATGACACTAAAATCTTATATAACTTAATCAAAGTATAATTTCTTTCAATCACTCTATCATTAACCATTAAACATGCCAGCTCATAAAATCCAATTTCATTAAATAGTTACTTGTCCTACTAACACAGTTAGCCATAGATGAAGTAGCATTGTCTATAAAGCAGTGGTGATGAGACCAGTACACATCAGAAATACCTGCAGGGCTTGTTACACACAGATTTCTGGGCCCCACATCCATGTTTCTGATTCATTAGGTCTGGGGTATGGCCTCAGAATTTGTTGGTCTAACACATTCCCAGGGATGCTGATGCTATTAGGATCCTGGGAGCACAATTGGAGAACTCCTTTTATAAAGAAAAACTGTGCTAAAGAAAGCTAGATTTGTGTACATATGTCTATGACAAGTTAATTTGTAGAAGGTAGCATTTCTTAAGAGGCTCCCTCCCATTCTACAGACATGATTGGTAAATCTAATTTTTTAGAACTGGTGTCCACAGATAAACAAATGTGGGAGAACAATTGACCTTACACTATGCTCTTAATCGGGCCAGCAAACATAAACAAAAGACCCCAAACAGCAAGACTTGTGCAGTTTGCTCAGAAAGGCAATTATGAGGATAAGGATATCATATTCAAAAGGGGCAATAATTTCCAAATTTAATGTCAACTCTTTATAATCCAGAAAAAAAAACATGCATAAAAATAAGATGTACCTAAACTTAGGGGTGGAAGAAATCGGAAAACAAAATCATTCATATTTCTAATCATAAGTCTCTGTTGGTCCTTTTTTTTTTTTTTCAAAAAGAGAAGAGATAGCCAGGCATCTCATGGAACTGGATCCCTGGAAGCCCACAAGTCCCTGGTCACTTTTCACCCCTTGCGTGGTTCCAGCTTCAAGTGTGGCTTGGCCTGGCCTGGTTGTAGGTACATGCTGTAGTTACAGTTACCATCCATGCTGGAGTTCTGGTGTGGCAGCCTAGGATAAGCACAACTTCAAAGTCGGTTTGAACCACAAGGTCGGTGGTTCAAACTCACCAGTCACTCCTTGGAAACCCTATACAGGATCACTATGAATCAGAACCAACTCAATGGCATTTAACAACAACAACAACCACCCTTGTTACTGAACTTGAATTGAATATGAAAACTGGGTAGGAGGATGCCACAAACCTATCATATTTAGAAAGGAAATTACTTCCAATTTTAAAGAAGCTTGAGATTAGTAAAACAACAAGATTTCAATTCCATAGGTTCTTCTAGGATGGAGATTTTCCATTCTGCCATCACTGTAATCTTTCATCATTTCCCTATTCCTAGATTTCTCCATTCAAACACCCCCCAATGAGCACCAACTTCTCACTCAAGTAATGCACCAGCCCTGAAACTACAAAGCACACACAATCCCTGTCTTCAGGGATTTCATGGTCTTTTAGGAAACTCAAATAAGGAAAAATTCAGCAGGAAGCACAATAAGATGTGTTAACCTAGAGGAAAGACAGTTTAATTCTGCCTTAAGGTGAAAAGGAGTCGGGCTACTGTTCAAAAGAAGAGAATTATTATTTGTTCTATTGGCTAGGCAGCAAAAAATAGCAGCCATTAAATTGAGGTTCTTCTTTTTTTCGCTTTAAAATCCACTCAACAATAGTCCCCATTTACTGTCAAAACTGGCTTCTGTGTGATAATACCCCTACCGTGATTATGCCAGCCTCTTACTGCTGCTCACCTTACACTTACTATCTGAAGGCTGGAGGACTAAAAACTGGCATGGGTATTTTCACTGAATGAGGAAGCTGTTTATCATGTTTGAAGATTATACAAGTGAATAGGTGCTTCACAGGATGGATATAGAGGGAGTCAGTAGAGGAAGAAACAAGACACACTGTTAGGTGCATACCAACTCTTAAGAGAGCTAAGCCAAAGGTAATTTGTGGTTTGTTTTTCTTAGGGAAGATCTGGCTTTACATACCACATGGAATGTTCCTGGTGCCTTGACAGGTCTGAAGTCATCCACAGGTACACACTGGTCAGCGTGGCCATTACAGAAGCAACTTCCCTTGACAATGAAATCATAGATTGCATAGTGTGTAAAATGCTGAGGCTTTGCATTCAGGTCATTTCTCTGACAGGGACAAGACTGTTGTTTTAGTAGCTGCACACGGAGGTTAGTGATCTTTAACTGCTCCTGAACTTTGGCACTGTAAAGGTTCTCCCCAACATATGGTGGTGACAAAGCTCTGAAAATAACCTGTGAAAAAACAAAAAACAACAAAAAAACCATGTGCATATAGGTCTATAAATCTGCAAACAAACCCACAGTTGTTTGTCTACTATAGTCCTGGTTTTGACCTTTTGTATTCTGGGAGTGATAAGATAACAGAAGGTTTTTAGACCTGTATCACACCTGGGCAGAGCTCCTTGCCATATCAAAGAGCAGGTGTGCTTACCTGTTTGGATACAGAATTATAAACATAGTAACCAGCAAAGACCTGAATATTGAGATGAAGCTAGCAGGTAAAGATCTTGGGGAAGAGCCTTTTGAGACAAAAAGAGCAGTAAGTATAAAGGCCTTGTTGCAGAACCATGCTTGGCTTTTTTAAGGCCAGTGTGACAAGAGGAGGTAGGAGAGTAGGGCAGACAGCTCTACACTACAGATCATGTGCAGAGTCTTTTGAAGGTCATGGTAGAACTATTCTAATTGTACTGAGAAGCCACTGAAAGACTTTAGATAGAGAAGTGATACGATCTGATTTACAGTTTTGTTTTGTTTTTTAAAAAGATAACCTTTGCTTCTTTGAGAAGAATGGATTATAGAGGGTAAAGAATAGAAACAGGAAGATCCGTTTAGAAAGCAATTACAAAATCAAGATGCAGGAATTTCTATTTCTAAATGAAGATTGACTCTTTCAATATAGGAACTTTGAGAGACTAATCAGCTATTAGTTGGGACCATTACTGCTACAAATGGAGTCCTGGTGTGATGATGCTGTGGGTTAATGTGCTGGACTGCAAAGTCCGCTTGAGCCACGATCAGCATTTCCTCAGAAACGTTATAGGTTGAAACCAACGTCATGGCACTTAACAACAACAACAACTGCTATAGATATTTTTTGGTACTTTTCTAAAACATTAGGTCATGTATCTTGGAGGAGTGATGATAGAAAATGTTTCTCGTTGGACCGCTGTACAAGATAAGGCTTTTAAGTATATTTACTGTTTCCTGTGTATTATTGGACAGGTGAGGTATTCAGGATAGGTGATATTCAAGTGAATATTTTTTTCATGCCTCATCTCACCTATCCTACCACTAGAGCTCTCTGGGACATATGTGTCCCACACAATCAAACTCCATCATAAATTTAAAAACATTCAATGGTTCAGCATGAATTCCATTAGCAAAAAACAAAACAAACAAATCATATCTGGTGGTGGTGGTGGTGCGCTAGAAAATCAGTTCCGACTCATAGCGACCCTGTATAAGGTTTCCTTGGCTGTGAATCTTTACAGGAGCAGAAAGCCTCATCTTTCTCCTGTGGAACAGCTGGTCCTTTCGAACTGCTGACCTTGAGGTTAGTAGCCTAACCCATAACCACTTACTTTGGTAGTGAAAGAGTTAACTTCCTTATACTGGTTTTCCCCGGGGTTACAAACATCTGACTTATGAACCAAGCCCCATAAAGCGTAGTCTATTAAAATTTGATGTATATACAATGATTCATAATAACCCTGGTGTCGCACTGTGGGTTAATGCACCAGACTACAAAGCTGTTTGAACTGCAAGGTCGGTGGTTCAAGCTCACCAGCTGCTCCTCGGAAACCCTATATGGGGTTGCTATGGGTTGGAACTGACTCAACACTCAGCACTTAACAACAACAACATAATAACCAAAGGGTGCTACTTTGCATTGTGCATCATAGCATTATTATTATCATTACTGTATTATTACGTTAAAGATATTTTGGTATCTCTGGAAGTATTGAAAAAAAATTTTTTAATGCTTAGAAAGTTATATTATATACTATACACTAAGACAAACATTTGACAGACTGACATTATATACAAACTGTACCTAACTATTTCAGCTTATATACAAACTACTTCAACACACATTTAGGAAGGGAACTCATTTGTAATCCTGGAACTGCCCGTGTAGGGTCTTAAACAGATTCACATTCTGCATTTCATATTATAGTACCAGACAGTGAAATATAAGAACTTGCACTATAATAGTAATAATAAATAACTGAATAATTAACTGGTATTAGGTTTTCTGCTCTTGTAAAGATTTATAGCCTTGGAAACTTTATACAGGGTTGCTATGAGTTGGAACCAAATCCAATGCACAACATTCCTACCACCATCTGTAGTTCTAGACTCCTGGAGTGGTACAAATGGTTAATGCACTTGGTTCCTAACTGAAAGGTTAGAGGTTCAAGTCTACCCAGAGGCTCCTTGTAGAAAGGCCTGGTGATGTACTTTCACAAACTCAGTCACTGAAACCTTATGGAACACATTCTACTCTGACACACATGGGCTTGAATCAGAATCAGCTTGAAAATAACTGGTTTTGTTTACTTTCTATCTATTTTGGAACTTGCAAAACTTAGAAAAAGTTGTATATTAAACTCAAAAAATATGCTGCCTCATTTATACACATGTACAATGGTAGAAAAACATATTATGGGATAAAATTTTCCAACAAATATTGTGTCACAAATTTGAGAGTCAAAATAGAAATAATATATTTTTCTTTCAGTAGCCTAAGTTAGATCAGAGTTTTAGATTTTGAATTATTTGGGGGGAAAATGGAATTCATTATGTACTTTATGTAAGACTTTTTTCAATACGCCATCCCAAGTACTGGCATGTCTGTTAGACATTCATGTAGAAAACTTGCTCTAAATAAAATAAATGCTGTGGCTACCTCCTATTTATCAACCACAGTAATGCAAGGACATGAGAAAGGATAACCAGTGCTTACCAGATAAGTACTCCACTGAGAAGTCTATGGTGTATTTCTCTGTGCTGTCTGCCCACCCTTCCTTTTCCTGAACATTTGTAGCGACTGTTTGCTCTGTCTGTTCCTGTCCTGACATTTACCCTAGTTCCTTCTCCTCTCCCCACCCCATCCCCCTGGTCCCTGAGAAACGTCTAGTGAATACAAAGTCAGAGGAAGATCTGTCAAGGTTTGGAGGGACTTAGAAGCTCTTTTGCTTCCAGAACCCAGCCTGTAGAAGCTGAATGGTCACTCTGTGCCTGGTGCACATGACACCACAGTTGGCATGCTGATAGCAGCAGGGAAGGGACAGCGTGACCCCTGAGGCTACATGCTGGAAAGGAGACAGCAGAGTGCTACAGACACAAAAGTGAACGGGAATTTCAACCATGAAATCTTTTCTCCACAAAGGAGACGCCTTAATCTGATACCCTGGGAAATAGATCTACCCTGCATCAGGAAACAGAGTACGCCAATCCAGATGCCTCACACTTCTGGCAGGTCGCCCTTTGGGTACCACCCAGTTTTTTCCTCATAGTACCCAAAAGAAGCCTGCATGGCACTACCGAAATGCAGTAAGAAAAGGTGCAGAAGTCCTCCATGTCACTTCAGCCATCCCCACTGTTGGTTTGGATGTGTGAGCCCATCACAGCTCCTCTGTCCCTGGTTGCTTCTGAATACACACTCCCAACACGATACATTTGAAAAGCAAGAGGATGACTAAGATTAAACTTATTTTGATATTTCCAACTTGTTAGTGTTACTGACCAGGACTTCATGATCTTATTTTTTAAATAAAAAACAACATTTTTTAAAGTGACAAATAATATATTTATTGCAGAAAAATCTGTTACTCAGGATATTAAAAAGTGCATATGATCCACCCCCCAAAAAACCAGGGGTACCAAATCAGTAATATCATTCCAACTGAACTTCTGTACGTATGCAGAATGTAAACAG